TCCCTCTGTCGCCCGGGCGGGAGTGCAGTGGCCGCTCCCAGCCACCGCAGCCTCGACCTGCTGGGCTCCGGTGATCCTTCCGCCTCAGCCTTCCGAGTAGCCGGAATTACAGGTATGCGCTACTACGCCCGGCTGATTTTTTGATTTATTTTAGAGATCAGGTCTCGCTGCCTAGGCAGGTCTCGAACCCGCGGGCTCAGGCAGTCCACTCACCTCAGCCTCCCAAAGGCGTGGGATTACAGGCTGAGCCACCGAGCTCGGCTTGATTTTATTTTTAATCCAAAAATATCCTGCTCACACTATTCTTTGCTTTATACATAATTTTGTTATATGCATTCAGAGGTGGAATAGAAAATGGTTTTTTTTTTTGTATATCTAATAGTCTCTGAAAAATATTTTAAAATATTAGGAAGCATCTTTAAAATTTTGTTTTGCCAAGAAGGAAATGATACTAATTACTACTTTCCCCCTCAGGCTGCTTTGACTCTTCCACGAAGACCTTTTCTACACTGTTCAACTGTGATACCCATCGTGGTTCTGACCCTGAAATTCACTATGCACTTTTTCAAGCTCAAAGACTCATGGTGCTTTCTTCCCTGGATGTTATTTATATCCTGGACTTCACACCATATCCGAGATGGGATTCGTCATGGCTTGTGGATATGCCCATTTGGAAAAACTTCTCCGTTGCCATTCTGGCTTTATGTAACAATCACAGCATCTTTACCTCATATCTGTTCATTCATTATGTATTTAACAGGGACCAGGCAAATGATGTCTTCAAAACATGGAATTCATATTGATGTCTGAGGTAACCATATGGTAGTCTTAGAGATGGCTAAGGGTAATCAATTAAAATAAATTTTAAAACACACAGATACTTTAATTGTTTAATTATTATTATTATTTTTTAAAGCAAGATTTATTGAGAGGACAGAAAAGCTCCCACAGTGGGAGGAGACCCAAGGGGGTTGTCCTGTTTAATTATTATAATTTCTGAATTCTCTTGCTCAGAATTGCACGTTTGTTGTTGTTTTTTAATTATATTTGTTATAATTCAACTTCTTTCTTCTATGACAACTCTAGTGCAATGTTAGAGTTGAATTTATTCCATGACATATTTTTATTACTTCTCTTCTGTTTATCTGGACTTTGGTAGTAGTTCTGTTGGATGAACATCCAATTCATTTTCTGGAAGTATACCTTTAAGTTACTCCATTTCCCGATGGAAAAAACCTCAGATTTTAGGCTTACCAATCTGTTGAAAGTTTCCATTATATTGGGATCCATATTTTATTGAGATATTAAAACAGTGACATGGCCAAAATAAATGATACTATGAATCATTTATAGTGAATGTATAACTATAAAGATGTATAGTAAATGCAGACACATATTTATTTTCACATATGTTGGTCCTGACTGAAATTTAATTTGCAGCGTGCTTTATGAGTTATGATACTGGCAAAATCTGCTTCAGTGCACTTGTGAGACATCATTATAATATCAATAAAAAACAGTAACTAACATTAGATCTAGGTTATTATTTTAGAAATCAATGTAGAAAATAGTTATTAAAACATGTTGACTATAATAACATTTTACCGAAGTAGTTTGAAAAACATAATTAAATTTAACAAAATATTGATACTTGAATCATAAACATGACATTTTAATTTACATAAAAAAGTAATGACCAGTAATATCATTTCAAATGTAAATTCCTGAATGTGCTGTTAGAATTGTTGTAGCTGCTATTGGTTTGCTTATGCATTGTTCTAAAATATTGCACTAGTTAAATAGTTTTTTTTAAAGTCTGTCCAATACTGAGAGACAGAATATATATTTTTCAAAATTAAGTGGTTTTAGAAAATTTGCCTTTTCCTTTGTTCTTGCAGGTTAATCTTATGTTAAGATGGTTAACCTTTATTAGAGAACACACGTTTAGTTGTTGTGGATTTTACTTTTACACAGTTTCTTGTTATTATGATATTAAAGTCAGAGCCCCAAAGGTACCTGCTTTTCTTAGTGGCATATGTGCCATCTGCTGTTTTCAGATTTTCTTACAGATTTGCGATTTATAATGCTGGTGACTGTGTGCCTTATTCTCTAAGAAACCGGGGATGATTATAAAGCAATACCTTATCTATAGCAGATTTTTAAAATATATTCAGTTAAACAGAATTCTGTAAATTATTATGAAGGTTCAAACTCTTTAGAGAAGTGGTTCTTTTTCTTTTAACAAACTGATTGCAATCTATATACTTTACAGTTGATTAACTCTTAATCATTATTTTTCAAGAGTAGTTATTGTATAAATTAGGTGTATAATGGTAAATACTATATAGTGAGGGTAAATTTGGTTAAAGCAGAGATTTTTTTTAAAGCATCTGATTTCAGAAATAGAAATAAAATCTATATCTTTTGTAATACTTTCTGATTAAATTACAAAACTTTTTCTATATTTCCTTTTTTAAGCAAAGAAATATCATTAAAATATAGGGCTTTATTTAATAGTGTTATGTAGGCATTTGAGGGGTTGTTCTAACTTTCCTTTATTAGAATGGAAATTCACTTTGATCATGACTCCTTGCTTAAACAGTAACCGTACATTTTATGTGTTAATTCATCTTAGTTCCTACCTCTACCACTAGAAGTCTTCCTTATTCTCCAAATGGACCCTGGAAAATGTGATTGTAACCGTTGGAAAACCAGTAACCACCTACCCGTGCCAGCACTTTGTTCTTGCACCTAATGAAATAATTTATGTCAAAACAGCATTATATTTGGAAGTCGGATTGTATCTTACTTGCTTGTGTGTGCTTCTCCATTCTCTAGATGTTTTTTGTTCACTTAGTGTTTGTCTCTTAGAAGTTTCACTGATCTGACCTTCCAATCTACTGTTTTCTTGAGGTGTGTTATTCATGCTGGCTTCCAGAAAGCTTCCACCACTGTATTTTCTACTCATCCCAAGCCTAGCTTTCTATAGTAGGGGGCTAGGAATTCCTATTATGAATGGGTAAAAACTTCCATTTATCCTTACCTCTTTACTTGACTGTTTCTCATCCTGGGCAGTAACACTCCCAGCAACCCTACCCCTAGGCAGATAGCCCTGGCTTCTTTTTCTTTTGGATGGTGGAACAATTACTTAGTTTGTCCCATTGTCCCAACTGAAGGGGAATAGAAGGGTCAGTTTGGTCCTTGCTCACCATTGTCAGAGCTAAACCATGTCATAGTTCTCAGTTTTCTTCACTTGATATCTCATTATGTTACTTATTCCAAATCCTTCTAACCCTTACCCTTTAATACTCTCTTTTACCTTCTTTGATGATATGAGCACTTGGGTTCTCTTTTTTCTTGTTTTCAAACCCTTGCTTTTATCCTTCTCAGTCACAGATGACCTACTAGGAACCTGGATTTCCATATTCCCCTATTCTGTGCTGCTGACTCTCATGGCCACATCACATCAGCTACCTGTCAGTACAGCAGGCCTCTGTGCCTCCTTCTTAAGGTGACACTGTGCATCTCTGAGATCTTAAACTTTGTTTCCTTTCTCTGGACTTGTAGTTCTCAAACTCTGCCATACATCAGAGTCCCTCCAAGGCTTGTTCAAACGTGGATTGCTTGGGACTCACCTGCAGAGTTCTGACTTGGTAGGTTCTAATAATTTACATTTACAAGCTCCCAATTGATATTGATGCTGCTGTTCAGGAACACTTGAGAACCACTGCTCTAGTCCCATCTTGCTTCTTTAACTTCATTTTCTTCTCTCTCTTTTTATTGAGCCAACTGTTTTGCCTTAATATCTTTTCTTTCTTTTTTTAAAAAAATTTCTTATTTTGAAGATGTAGGAGACAACTCAGGGTTAGGTTTACAAATGTTCATTATGCAGGTACCCTTGTTGATGAGGTGTGCCCCCCCACCCAGTATCTTTTCACTTTTGTTAAACTTCTCTTGTCACCAAATGCTCCAGCCCTCTGCTGGGTATATTAAACTCTGTCCTTGCCCTATCTGTGCAGTGCTGTAAGTTACTATATACTTCCTTGTGTACCATCCAATTAGCCAATCCAGAATAATCTATGTAGTTTGCTTTCCCCAGTTCTCCTTTAGGCCGCATGTCTTTGAAGTAGTTATGAAAGCATGCTGACATGGCTTACTACAGTTCTTGCAGTCTGACATCAGCCAGGTATTTGATAATACATTGCTGAACAATGTTTCCCCAAATATTGTACCAAACATGCCAAGCTGCAAAATATTTGCTATACCACAGCTTTCTGATAATGGAACAGACTTTAGTGGGTGCTTAAGAATAACTGATCATACTGACTTCTTGACCCCACCCTGTTGCACCTTCTCCCCACTGATGTACTATAGGAGTGCACTCACCATCCAAGTGTAGACAACCAGCAGCAAGTTAGAGTCTCTGGAGATTGCCTGGTAAAGGAGCTCTGACCAACAGGATGACTAAGGTAAACCTTAGAGTAGGAAAGCAGACAGTACAGGCCACAGAGTATGCAGTCCAGTTAAGAGTTACTATTTTCAACTTATACGGAAGCCCAGGGTATTTTTAATCTGACCCATGGACATTTGTTGGAGGATATACTTTTTTACTGAGAGTTGCAATTGCTAGACTTTATGTCTCCTGGAGCTGCAGAATGATGAGTGAGGTCATTCAATCCTGTGCTCTGCCTATAAACTGGACAAGCCCAGTGATTACCAAGCCTACTTTTACAACTTTCAAGAACTTTTCCAATTCTTTATGCTTTTTATATCCTTCAAATAAAACACAAGGTTTTTTTTTTTTTTCTTTCACATTACCTGTGTGCATAAAGTCTGCACATACAGAGTCTGATTTATGATATAACTGAGCTATAAAGCTCATTGGCACCTTGCACAATTTTATGGCAACAAGGCAAACATCAGAATGATAGAGTAGGCGACGTATTCAAACCTCTGGGTGTGGAATTCTGTAAAACCCTTCAACTATAACTGTGTTGTATTTTAAATGCTCATGGCCTCCTAAGCATGAATAATGATGTATATTGTGTTGTATTTTAAATTCTTCCTAAGAGGCAAACTTAGCCACCTAGCTGTCTATTTCATAATTATACCAGATAATGAAGCAATAAAATGCAAATATATATATATATATTTTGAGTTGGAGTCTCACTCTGTCACCCAGCCTGGAGTGCAGTGGCCGCTCCCAGCCACCACACCCTCAACTTGCTGGGCTCCGGCGATCCTTCCTCACAGCCTTCCAAGTAGCTGAAATTATAGGCGCGCGCTACCACGCCTGGCTAATTTTTTTTTATTTATTGTAGAGATGAGGTCTCACCCAGTTGCCCAGGTGGGTCTCAAACCCGTGGGCTCGGGCAATCCACTCACCTCGGCCTCCCAAAGCGCAGTATTACAGGCTGAGCCAACCGAGCCCAGCAAAATGCAAATATTATAATGAGTCTAAATGTCTAGACTACAAAGTAGTAATCAGGAAAGTCTTCTGATTTATGGAACATTGAAGTGACTTTCTCTCCTTGATGACTGGTGAATAAACACTTTTGAGGATCTGGCTAGTTTCTTCCCTGCTGGATATGATACTGGATCTCACTGGAAATGTACCGGGCTGAAAGCAGAGTTATGCATCCTAATGTCTGTCAAATGTGCAGATGGGTTTTCATTTGTTTTCCTGTGGTTTTTTTCTCTAGGCCCAAGTCATAACCTTAAAAAAAAATGTTGATCTCAATTTTATTGATAAAGTTCTAAAGCTAGAGGTCTTAAGGAATTTCTTAATTACAGATTTCCTCTATGTGACTCATTATGTCTGTTTCATATGATGAAAGACATTCTGAGCCGGGCTCAGTGGCTCAGCCTGTAATCCCGTGC